AACAGTAATTTCGGCATTTTGCTAATACATTATTTAAATTAAAAGTTATATCTGTTAATGTTATTTAATGATATGAGCTAACATGAACTAAAAATGAACAGCTGTATTTTTATTAACTAATATTAACAAGCTTAATAAATACTGGAACAAATGTATTGCTCATTGTTAGTTCATGTTAGTTAGTGCATTAAATATGATTAACAAATGTAACCTTATTGTAAAGTGTTATATTTGTGGCTTACTGTGTGAATTCTTATGATTATTAAACACATTCAGACACTTTTCCATATAACAGTACTTTTAAAGCTCTGTTGTGTTCATGTACTGTAGCTATGAATCATATCAAGAGAAACCAAATAGAAATTGGTCCAGATTCATATTTAGACCTGCTTCCTGGTCGTTATAGAAACTGTTGATCAGATGGTCCACCAAGCATGTGAGTCAGTGATGTGACTGCTCAGATCTCATCTGCTGTCACGATATGAGAAGAGAACGCTGCTGATTGCATAATTGCCATCACGACTCGTATAATTACTTGCCATTTTAACAGATGGTTTTTTTTTGTGCAAATCAAATTACAGTACACCAACTTCAGCCATCAGGAGCTCGAAACCAAGATCCATTACTGAGATGCCTGCAATGATTTTGAGTCTGCATAATGGATTTAAATATGATAAAAATGGCTTAAACAGTGCTGAGAGTATTGCACTTTTATTGGTAAATGAAATTACCATTAAAATGTTAAGAATAAAAAAAAAAACATCTGTAAATATATAGTTTAAAATTTGTATTAAACTGTGAACAATTTGTGAACAACCGTGTGGCTCTGTTTTTAAATAATAATTCATTTAATAATTAAATTAAATGAATAAGTATAATTAAAATTTTCTTAAGAATAAAAAAAATATCTATATAAATGTATAATTTAATCATTTGTATAAAAAAGTTTTTTTTTTTTTTTGCTAATTGATTTTTTTATGCTAATTTAATTTAAATCACTGCAAGCTTCCTCACACAATTCTTTAATCAGTTTGGAAATTAACAGTTAGTTTTAATTATAATTATTATTAATTTTTTTATCAGTTTCATGTCTCATTAACCCTTAGGCGTTTGCTGAAATTGTTTTTTTTTTAAATGTCTCCTTTATCTAAATGGCGTTACACTTTGTACGGTTGTCAACACTTGCTAGTTCTACAAAAAAAAAAAAAATACTGGATTGATGTCTGGTTGTATGTTAGTGTGAAAAAAGTCACAATCAGGATGTTTGGGGTCTCTGGAGATCCTACATTGAAATGAATGGGGAAATTATAAAATCAATACTTTTTCTTTTTAATTTGTTAAATAAAAAATATAAAATAAAATCACTAACATGTGCCACAACAGACCACAAACTACCCGAAAATGAAGTGGCAACCCTTCCACATGTTCACAATGCAGAACGATTACGCTCGCAACCCCCCCCCCCCCGCACACCCCAAAAAAATCACCCAAAGAAGTCAATGGGATACTATAAAATATAGATTTTTTGTTACATAATTTGTCAAAACCGTTAGTTACAACGCAGGCAACACACAAAAACTGAAGGGGTGACACCACAGCACATCCACGGTGGAGGAAAAATCCACACAACCCCCACCCACCCCCCAACGCCCATAAAACTAATAAAACCCACTCATAAGACATGAAAAAGTGACATGACATGAGTGGCTCTCTCTTACATAATTCGTCGAATAAAAAAATCAGCTACAATGAAGAACACGCACAGAAATGATAAAGGGACACCACAGCACATCCACAATGGAGAATAATTGCAAACACATACACACACACACACACATGCTAATAAAACCACATACAGGTTTGACTGTTATCATGTGTCATAATTGCAAAAAGTGATACTTCAGTAGGCTACAAAAAAACTGCTAAACTTTGACAAAGAGTAATTTTTTATTATTACAATAATGATTTAAAAAAAAAGCATTATCACATTTTGTTGTCTGGGGTCTCTAGAGACCCCAAACAGCTCGAGTGTATGCCCCAAACGAACAATGCATAAATAACAAAAACAGCAGAGTGAGAGAACAGATTAATTTTAGCTGCACCAACACAATCCCATCTCTTTTTAAGTTGCTGATTTCGTATGAATTTTTTCACTTTGATTTGTACAATAACATATAAAACTAAGCCTAAAAGTCCACCACAGACCTAACCTTCAGTGTTGTGCAAGAAGATCATACAAAAATGTAAAAATGAGATTGTACAAACTCATGTGAATTCACCAGCAATTCATCAAAATGTGAAATAGTTGCCAATTTCAATGAGAGTGTGTTGGCTACTCAGATTGTCATGTACAGTAATCAGTAATCATTCTCAGTCTCTGTGGCCTCAACTGTTATGTTCCTCATTTTATATACTAGAAATGATTACTCAGCATAATAGGATTCTATAATCCAAAGTCTGTGTTGTGTTATGACATTAAATATAGGGTATCACCACTGCTATTTCACAACTCATGAATCATGGTGGTGAGAAACGCTATTTCACAACTCATGAGAAACACATGGTGGTGAAACATGCCTAGTTTACCAAAATATCTGTACTGGAAATTACTAACAATTTTTAGAGTGCAGCTGGAAACTTTTGGTGGAAAATATTGAGACAGTATGTACGTGGACAGGAAAAAGCAGACACCTGTTGTTAGAGGCTATCAAAGCTTAAACTATAGATAGTGAGTGAGTGACGTGACATGTGGCCAAGTATGGTGACCCATACTCAGAATTAGTGCTCTGCATCTACCCATCCAAGTGCTCAAGGGCACCTCAGACGTGGTACTGAAGGTGGGAGAGAGCGCTGTACATTCACTACCCCCACCTACAATCCCTGCCGGTACGAGACTCGAAACCGCAACCTTTGGGTTATGAGTTCGACTCTCTAACCATTAGGCCACGACTTCCCAAAAGATGGAGCGCTTCACGGATTTGCGTGTCATCCTTTCGCAGGGGCCATGCTAATCTTCTCTGTATCAATCCAATTTTAGTATATGTGCCGCCGTGGCGACACATAGATGGTCCACTCAGACCACCACAGGTGCATGCTGGGTTACGTAATTCATTACAGGAATGTGCAGGAATTAGAGGACTAAATCAGACTTCCCAACATATGCGTCACAATTCACTCGGGGCGCAAGGAACGAGGAAATGAGGAATAATTGAAATCCACAGGAAAACTGAGAACAAGGAGGACATTCAGCAAGTAGACCTGACAAACAAGAACTGAAAGGACTAGGGTTTTTAAAGGCAGGATAATTGGGGAGGAACGAGACACACCTGGAATCAAATTAACACAATCAATATGAGGAAGAAACTGGGTCACTGGGGCAAAAACACACACACTGAATAGTCCATAATCCTGACATAACGCCCCCTCCCGGAAGGTGCGTCCTCGGACCGTAGCAACAACAGAGGGAGGCGTAGGTGGGAACTTGGGAGGAGATTCTGGAAGAGGACGGATAGCCGGGAGGACGCCGGCAGAGAGAGACCAGCTGGTTTCGTCTGGCCAGAGGAGAACTGACCCCCCAACTGAGCCTGGTTTCTCCCAAGGTTTTTTCTCCATTCTGTCACCGATGGAGTTTTGGTTCCTTGCCGCTGTCGCCTCTGGCTTGCTTAGTTGGGGACACTTCATTTCCAGCGATATCGTTGACTTCATTGCCCAGATACTATTTAAACTGAACTGAGCTGGATGATGACATCACTTAATTCAATGATGAACTGCCTTTAACTGAAAAATTTGTGTTTACTATTGTCACTTTGCATTATTGACACACTATTTTCCTAATTAATGCTGTACAGTTGCTTTGACTCAATCTGTATTGTTAAAAGCGCTATATAAATAAAGGTGACTTGACCAGGGGGGCGACGAAGCAGGGAGGAGCCAGGGAGAAGACAGGAGGGACCCGGAGCAAGAGGAGCACAGCAGGACCCAGGCCACAGCCATGATGCCGACCCACGGTGGAGTCGACGGAGGGAGGATCCATGGAGGAAGAATGGCCGCCGACTCCAGGGGGCCGACCAATGGCGGCGGAGCAGGTGGTGGAGGAGCCCGAGGCTGAGACGGAGAGCCGATGAGCCAGGGCGACGGGGAGGATCCGGACATCCTAGGCGGAGCAGATGGTGCCGGCGACCGACGCGGAGAAGTGGATCCAGGAGGCCGCATTGGAGCCGGAGCGACATAGAGGTGGAGCCGAGGGGATGAAGGAGCCTGACGGAGCCGGAGGGATGAGGCGAAGCCAGAGTAGTGGAGTCCCATGGCGCAGGATGGTTGACGCCAGACCAAGGCGGAGCCGGAGGGACGAGGGAGCCTGGCGGAGCTTGTGGACTGCCGGGCCACGATGGAGAGGAGGAAGTTAGGAGCCATGGTGGAGCCGACGGGTCAACGGCCCGAGGTGGCCCTGGAGGGTGCTCTGAACTGAATTCAGGGGCTGGAACCCTTTCCTCATCCTTTTGGCACTTTCGCCCCCACCATACTCAGCTCACCCTCAGCTGCAGTGGAGGGGCGGAGCTCCTCATGCATGAGGAGATGGTGGGCTGGGCTCTGGGTCGGGAGTGGCACTGGCGATTAATTCCTGGGAACCGGCGGGGAACGGAGATCCAATTCTCGTCAGTGTCCACTCCACAAAGGCGGCGAATTCAGCTCGAGGGCCATCTTCGGACGATGGTGCTCTGCACGTGGTGTTGAGGCTGGCGTCATAGAACGCGCAGAGTGTGTCGTACGGATAGGTGGTGAGATGGGCCACAGCCAGAAACAGTCTGGTATGACCCTCGAGTGAATTTTCCCCCTGCTCCAGCAGGAGGAGGATGGATTCGGGGCGAAGGAGGGGATCCATAGGGCACACAACAGAAACAAAACAGTAAAAACAAAACAAAACAAAACGGAGGGTACAAATGGAGGTAACTGTATCGGACAGGTCTTCTGTCAAAATTCACTTGGGGCGCAAGGAACGAGGAAACGAGGAGTACTTGAATAACACAGTCTTTAATAATCCACAGGAAAACTGAGAACGAGGAGGACATTCAACACATAGACCCGACAAACAAGAACTGAAAGGACTAGGGTTTTTAAAGGCAGGATAATTGGGGCGGAACGAGACACACCGGAATCAAATGAACACAATCAACATGAGGAAGAAACTGGGTCACGGGCAAAAACACACACATAATAGTCCATAATCCTGACAATATGAGAGAGACAATTTTTTTGCAATCAAATCAGCAAGTTTGCTTATTATTTCGTTCCCTGTTTTGTTGAAGTGTGTCCACAATACAATGTACCATAAAAACCAGCAATTCTTGAAGGAAAAATTAACTTGATACAGTAAAGAAAACTACTCCACAAATTGAAAATTATTGTTAATAGTATCACTGTTTAATGTTACTACTCCCCAAATGTGACATAATATGACTACTGTGGTGTACATATTGTATAAAGAATAGAATAATTTTACCATTCACATACCATTCTTCAAACATATAATTCATAATTTGTAGATAAGTAGATAAAATGTCCCCGGCAATCCTCTTAGATACTAAGCTAGACATTCATATGACCTTATTTTTTTTTTAATCAGTGTAACCATTAAAAATGTCTCTGGCCCTGTGAATTTCAGCAAAGACTCTGATGCAACTACATCACCTTTCATTGGTTCAGCCCTGTAAGTCTTTTAACTTATAGCATGTTCACAACTGTGTGGGTGTGCTGAAAAGCCCAGTGCTCTGTATCTGTGGCTATACATTGCGTTGTAATTTCTTTCTAACCAGGCACTGATGGATTGGTTTGGAAAAGCTCCTGATAGAGAAGGAAAGCACATGTGCTGTACGGCGTAGCAGGTGGCGAGTGCTGACTTGACAGCAATTAGATGTACAAATCTTTGATTAGGCTCATGGGAGCACAATCACTATTGCGGTTGAGGCTTCCCTGTTTCTCTCTACATCTCTCTCTCATGTTCATCACCTCTTTCACTGATATTTTAACTCGGTTATAAACTGAAACCATCTTTATTTGAACTTGTGTGTGTGTGTGTGTGTGTGTGTGTGTTGGCATAAAACAAGATGTGATACAGTGGGTACGGAAAGTATTCAGACCCCCTTAAATTTTTCACTCTTTGTTATATTGCAGCCATTTGCTAAAATCATTTAAGTTATTTTTTTTTCCTCATTAATGTACACACAGCACCCCATATTGACAGAAAAACACAGAATTGTTTACATTTTTGCAGATTTATTAAAAAAGAAAAACTGAAATATCACATGGTCCTAAGTATTCAGACCCTTTGCTGTGACACTCATATATTTAACTCAGGTGATCTCCATTTCTTCTGATCATCCTTGAGATGGTTCTACACCTTCATTTGAGTCCAGCTGTGTTTGATTATACTGATTGGACTTGATTAGGAAAGCCACACACCTGGCTATATAAGACCTTACAGCTCACAGTGCATGGCAGAGCAAATGAGAATCATGAGGTCAAAAGGAACTGCCTGAAGAGCTCAGAGACAGAAATGTGGCAAGGCACAGATCTGGCCAAAGTTACAAAAAAATTTCTGCTGCACTAAGAGCACAGTGGCCTCCATAATCCTTAAAGGGAAGACGTTTGGGATGACCAGAACCCTTCCTAGAGCTGGCCGTCCGGCCAAACTGAGCTATCGGGGGAGAAGAGCCTTGGTGAGAGAGGTAAAGAAGAACCCAAAGATCACTGTGGCTGAGCGCCAGAGATGCAGTCGGGAGATGGGAGAAAGTTGTAGAAAGTCAACCATCACTGCAGCCCTCCACCAGTCGGGGCTTTATGGCAGAGTGGCCCGACGGAAGCCTCTCCTCAGTGCAAGACACATGAAAAAACACCTGAAGGACTCCAAGATGGTGAGAAATAAGATTCTCTGGTCGGATGAGGCCAAGATAGAACTTTTTGGCCTTAATTCTAAGCGGTATGTGTGGAGAAAACCAGGCACTGCTCATCACCTGTCCAATACAGTCCCAACAGTGAAGCATGGTGGTGGCAGCATCATGCTGTGGGGGTGTTTTTCAGCTGCAGGGACAGGACGACTGGTTGCAATTGAGGGAAAGATGAATGCGGCCAAGTACAGGGATATCCTGGACGAAAACTTTCTCCAGAGTGCTCAGGACCTCAGACTGGGCCGAAGGTTTACCTTCCAACAAGACAATGACCCTAAGCACACAGCTAAAATAACGAAGGAGTGGCTTCACAACAACTCTTTGACTGTTCTTGAATGGCCCAGCCAGAGTTCTGACTTAAACCCAATTGAGCATCTCTGGAGAGACCTAAAAATTGCTGTCCACCAACGTTTACCATCCAACCTGCCAGAACTGGAGAGGATCTGCAAGGAGGGATGGCAGAGGATCCCCAAATCCAGGTGTGAAAAACTTGTTGCATCTTTCCCAAAAAGACTCATGGCTGTATTAGATCAAAAGGGTGCTTCTACTAAATACTGAGCAATACTTAGGACCATGTGATATTTCAGTTTTTCTTTTTTAATAAATCTGCAAAAATGTCAACAATTCTGTGTTTTTCTGTCAATATGGGGTGCTGTGTGTACATTAATGAGGAAAAAAAATGAACAAATGATTTTAGCAAATGGCTGCAATATAACAAAGAGTGAAAAATGTAAGGGGGTCTGAATACTTTGCGTACCCACTGTATATGAAAAAGTATTTCACATCTCACATCCTTTGATTTTGTATTTGATTTTGTAAAAGTATTTCACATCTCACATCTTTTGATTTTGTAATGTAAATATATAGAGATGTTGCTACATATCCATATTTACAGTAAATAACTCTGATATTATATTCATTAATATTACATTGTTACTTAGTATTAGTTCAGATGCAACCAAGAATACTTTCACTAACATTTTTTTTATATTTTGGTTTTTAAATTTTTTGATATCTCTGTAGCATAGTGCTTTCACTCAAAAATGCATAACACAATGTATTTTTGATGATTAATTACAATAACAAAATAAGAGTTTATTAGCTAAGTTAATTTAAAATGTAATTAAAGTGATATCTAATAAATAAATACAGATCATACTTTTTAAGAAGCTTGTTGTTTGGTCTTACTGTTGTAATTTTAGTGCTTAGGAAAACAGCTTCAAATAAAAATTTATTTGCACTTATGAAGTAACAATGTAGATGGAGGGTATAATAATGCATAATGACTGCCTTAAAGATGCGGGCTGTTTTGGGAGAGTTGAATTTTGCAGTAAATAACTGTCATTACCTTCAAGATAACGGTTTGTTTTACATTAATGGCAGCTTGTTCTGCTTTTAAGTGCTTTGGAAATGCCACTGTATTTCACAAGGGCAGTTTGTCACAGACATACTCAGCAATAAAATTCATAGTATTTGTATTGGCCATGGTGTAAATATAGAGACAGAATTTGTCCAGCTCAATAATTACAACATTCTAGAATGTTTAATCAAAGTTTATTGTAACAGACATAAAATACAAAGGGCTGACAGTAAAGACATTTATAATGCTAAGATTTCTATTTCAAATTACGTTCTTTTGAACTTTCCATTTATCAAAGAATCCTAAAAATAATGTATCTCAGTTTCCACAAAAATATTAAGCAGCACAACTGTTTTCATCATTGATGATAAAAAGGAATGTTTCAGAGCAGCAAATCAGCATATTAGAATGATTTCTGAATGATCATGTGGCACTGAAGACTGGAGTCAAATTCAGCTTTGCCAATCACTGCAAAATTGTCCATTTTAAAATATATTTATTTTAAAAAATATATATTTTTTAATTGTAATAATATTTTGTATTTTTGATCAAGTAAATGGTGCCTTGGTGAGAATAAGATATATTTTTTAAAAACTTCTGACCGGTAGTCTAACACATTAGACTTGAGTAAAACCTGTTAATTTAGATGTTACTACACAAAGCACATTTTAAATGCTTTATACAGTGTGTTTTCTTTAGTAATGTTCATACTAACGAGTCCCCTTTGGCAGTCCATCACCTCCAAACTTAAGTGTCTCCCTCGTTTGCTAATTAGAGCTGCAGGTCTTTCCCACTTCACACTTTCCCAGGTGTGGGGTTCACTGTGGACACCTCTCACCACAGAAACCAGACTTGGATTGCTCTGAGGCCAGAACACCTCTTATTACTCATCTTAGAGCATTCTCAAACAATACACGTCAACATATCCTAATGTACTGCCTGTAAATACAAATTCAATTTGCAATAACATGCTTTCAATTTCAAATGTCTAACTCACTGTCAGACATGTATTATTGTCTGTGCAGTTGTTCAATATGATCTGATGGTTTCGGCTGTGGATCTCAGAGGGGGGCCGTCAACTATACTTTGCTCTGGATGTCTTGGGAGTATGTCACTATAGTGTTAAGATTGTATTCCCAACCCCATTCATTCTAGAAACTGGAGTCTGGCTTAACCAGCCCTCTCTGGACATGCTGAACTCTTCTATGAAGGAAAAACTATTTTCACTCTTTGGAGTATAAAGTGATTTTTGAGTCACATTTGAGTCACATTTAATGTGGTTACATTCTTTAAAACTTCTTAAGATACACAATTTCAGGGATCATTCATGTCTAATGCTCAAACATGAGGGAAGAATTACTGTACATGCCAAAACTTAAAGGTCAAGTAACTTAAATGGATAGTTCACCCCAAAAAATGAAAATTCTGTCATTAATTACTCACCCTCATGTTGTTTCAAACCCATAAGACCTTCTTTCATCTTCGTAACACAAATTAAGATAGTTTGGTAACACTTTAGAATAATGGTCTGTTGTTAACAAGTAACTATGCAAGTCAAGTCAAGTCACCTTTATTTGTATAGCACTTTATACAATACTGGTTGTGTCAAAGCAGCTTTACAGTGAGTCAAACAGGAAAATAGTTTGTCAATGATGCAAGAAGACAATAACAGAGTCATTTTTTTCAGCTAAAGTCAGTTCATTGATGATTCAAGGAACCAAAACTCCATCGGTGACAGAAATGGAGAAAAAACCTTGGGAGAAACCAGGCTCAGTCAGGGGGCCAGTTCTCCTCTGGCCAGACGAAACCAGCATGGCGTGGTTTAATTCCAGGCTGCAACACAGGTACAGAGGTCTTGTCTGTTTCCGTGGTCTTGTGCCAATGGTCATCGAGGTGCTGAGATCTTCGCAGGGGGATCTGTCTCTGGGATGAATCTAATTGACATGGTCTCCGCTGACATTCAGGGCTGTAGAAATCGTCTCTAGGTGCTGATCCACCATCTGGGGTGGCTACGGTGACCATCTGATCTTGATACAGACTGGATCTGTATGGCTACAGTGACCTTGGAATAAGAATGAAAGAAACTAATATTAGTGTAGATGCCATTCTTCTTACGATGTAACGAGTACATCGGATGTTATGGGAAGTGTTCCCGTTTCCGGTTGACCTAATAAATGCAACCTAACAATCCTTTAACAGATTTGAATTATAGAAATGTGATAGTGTGTTATGTGTATGCCAGGTTAAAGAGATGGGTCTTTAATCTAGATTTAAACTGACAGAGTGTGTCTGAATTGAAGAAATTTAGAGCTGGGTATCATCAGCATAACAGTGAAAGCTAACACCATGTTTCTTGATGATATCTCCTAAGGGTAACATGTAAAGTGTGAAAAGCAACAGTCCTCGTACTGAGCCTTGTGGCACTCATGGCAACATCATTTTGTAGTCTACTCAAAAGGATGTTGTTGTCGATAGTGTCAAACGCAGCACTAAGATCCAGTAGCACTAATAGAGAAATACAACCAAGATCAGATGCTAAGATCAGGTAATTTGTAACTCTGATGAGAGCAGTCTCAGTAATATGATACGGTCTAAATCCTGACTGGAAATTCTCAGAGATACCACTTCTCTCTGAGAGCTGAGAGGATACTGCCTTTTCTAGTATTTTTGACAGAAAAGGGGGATTTGAAATCGGTCAGTAATTAACTAATCTCTAGGATCAAGTTGTGTTTTTTTTATGAGAGGCTTAATAACAGCCAATTTGAAGGTTTTAAGGACATATCCTAAAGACATTGATGAATTAATAATATTCCGAAGAGGAACTATGACTTTTGGAAACACCTCTTTTAATAGCTTAGATGAAATAGGGTGTAACATACATATCAGAATCAGAATCAGAAGAGCTTTATTACCAAGTATGTTTACACACACAAGGAATTTTACTTGACGACAGGAGCTTCCAGTGTAGAAGAAAGTAAAACGTAGTGCAGACATACATGATAGTGCAGACATACATAGGAATAACACAGTAGGGATGTAATATAACAATTTGAATAATGATATAATAATTGAATAAAGAAAAATTGAATAATGTACTATATACAGAAATAGAAGTATAGGAAAAAATTTAATTGTTTAGATAAATGTACAGATATGTTTATTAGTGTGCAGATATGTTATTTACAAAGTGTGCAGTTTAATATAAATATA